GGGTCGGGAGCAGGGTCGGGACTCGCGGGGTGCGGGTTTCGGCGCCGACCCAGCCGAGCTCCCACGGGGCCGGGCCCCACTCACCGTGTCCGAGTTGCGATCATTGCCCGGGGCGAGCGCCGTCCGCGAAGACATCTTCTCCGGGTCCCGGGGACAGGGGCGGGCGCGTGGGGGGGGCGGGGATCCCGGGGTCCCCTCTCGTCCCCTCCCCCCCCCGCCGGCCCGGGGACGCGAGCTCAAAAGCTGGGCGCCTCGGACGCCGGAGTCCGCGCCGCGGGAGCAGGCAGGGCCAGGGACCGGACGGGACGCCGAGGGTCCTAGTGGCCCGGTGCAGGGAGGCCCGGGGGCGCCATGGGGGCAGCCGGCGGCGGCGGCAGTGGCGGCGGAGGGGGCGCGGAGGGGGCGCGGAGCCGGCCGGGGCGGCGGCGGAGGAAGGGACGTCAGGGCGGGGGCGTGGCCTCGGAGACCACGCCCCCGCCGCCGGCTCTTAAAGGCGCAGGCCGGGGCGGGCCGGGGGCTCTGTGGGCGGAGGCAGGTCCGGGCGCGCCCGAGGGAAACGTGTTCCCACAGGACGGCGAAGTCGGGGCGGGGAGGAGGGGAGCGAAACGGGGACGCTCGGAGGCCGAGCGCCAGCCAGAGAGGCGCAGAAAGACAGCAAGAGATGCAGAGACGCAGACAGACACAAAGAGGCAGGGACGGACAGCGGGGCTGGCAGAGACACAAAGAGATGGACCGAGAGGCGAAGGACAGAGACGAGCCGAGAAGGACAGAAGGAGGGGGCGGCGGGGAGAAAGAGGGAGAAGCGACCTGGACTGGGGCAGAGACCCATAGTCCACACGGAGACCAAGAGCCCGGAGAGGGGAGATCCGGGGCGGGACCCAGCCCGGGCCACCCCGGCAGCGCCGCGGGGACCAGCGTGTGTTGGAGCCCGGAGTGCGCGGAGGAAGGAGGAGCCTGAGGGCTCTTTCCCCTCAGTCACGCCGGCCCGGAGCGAGGCCGAGCCCTGGCCGTCAGCTGGAGGATTTGCTCGTCCTCCTAGCCCAGCCTGAAAACCAGGTGTTGGTAACTGCAGGGTGCCGGGCCAACTCGGGAAAGCTGAATGTTAAAAATCTCAGGAATTTTGGAACTGGTTGTTACTCATGACCATGATTAAAAATTAAAGTATGCAACCATGCAAGGAAATAAATTATATTAAAACAAAAGTACTATACGCTCATCGCGTCCTGGTCATTTCGCTTCATCTTCCTGTTATATGCGATCTTTAGTTTCTGCGCATCTTTTGTATCCTTCTGAAATTGCTATAGAAGGGTGGGCTGCTGTGTATGGCTTCCCAAAAATGCCTTCAGAGACTCACCCGTGCTTGAAATTGCCCCTGGTGAGGTCACGTGCTTCTTGGAACTTGCCAAAGGTTACAAATCCGTATTTATCAGCCTACGGCAGGTCGAGGCCATCATTTGCGTGGATTCATGGAGGGGGCTCTTGTATTGGGCTCTGAGCATGGGGTCTTTCCCGTGAGGTAGGGACCATCCTTGCTTACCCATTCACAGAAGAAGAAACCGAGGCCCGAGGAAGAAGAGTGACACTCGAAAAGTGACCAAGCTAGTGAGTGATAGGGTTGGGATTTGAACTCACCTGCTCCCAAACTCCAGCACTTGGGCTCTTAACCACAATGGTTTCCTGTTTCCGAAGAATAAAAGCTGCAACCTCGATATGCAAAAAATCCAGAAGTATATATGTAAATTGCTTCATGGGTTGAGGGGAGGAGGATTAGAACTTTATTATTGCGATTATTTAGCAAATGAAACCAGAGGAGTTTCTTCGGAGGACGAGAGGAGGGGTTCAGGATGGGATTCTAGAAACTTTGTGATCCCTCTAGGTCTCTGCAGGGTGAGGGCTGGAGCCAAGGGAGTAAGATGCGGGCTGAGTCGCCCCCAAACCCTTCCCAGCCTCTCCGCGGACTGCTGCAGTTCTCTCAGAAACCACATGAGGGCAGCAGGTTGCCTTTCTGCACACCAGGGACACAGTCGCGGAGCTCCCCCTGCTTCCCTTTCAATCAGCGCAGTCTCCACCCCATTTCCAAAAGGAGGGAGGTTAAGAATTGCAGGAGGTGCGAAGTAGATAGGCCGGGGAAACCTTAAGTTTAGTGAGAGAAAGCCACACAAAGGTATTTACATGATATTCTTTGTGTGACATAGCCGGGCATGATGGCATGTGCCTGTAATCCCAGCACTGGGTAGGCTGAGGCAGGAGGAGGATCCTCACAAATTTGAGGTCGGCCTGAACTACATAGTCAGATTGTCTCAATGAAATGAAAAAGACGTTTATATGACACATCTAGAATAGGCAAATTCATGGAGACAAAGAGTGCGTTAGTGGTTTCCAGGGGCCCGGAGAAAGACAGGCAGGGTGTAAATACTGGGTCCAGGGTTTCTTTTTGGGGTGATAAAAAGTTCTGGAATTAGTGGTGATGCTTTCTACAATCTTGTGAGTGCACCAAGACTTATGAAACGTACATTTAAAAAGGCAAAATTTGTGGGGTAAGAATGATATGTTGGAGCGAGGCATGGTGATTCCTGCCTGTAATCCCAGCACTCAGGAGCCTGAGGCAAGAAAACTGTTGCAAGTTCGAGACTAGCCTAGGCTATAGAGAGTTCAAGGCCGGCCTGACCTGCATATTAGGACCCTGTCTCAAAAAAAAAAAAAGACTGGGGATTTAGCTCAGCAGCATAGGTGTCTGCCTGGCAAGCACGAGGCTGTGAGTTCGATCCCAGGTACCAAAACAAATCTAGAATGAAATAGCTCAGTGACCCAATGCCTGCCTAGCAAGTGCAAGGTTGTGAGTTCAATTCCTGGTACCTAAAATAAAATAAAAGACTGATGTCTCACCTCAAAAAAAATTAAAGGAAAGGAAGGCGAGCAGGACATTGAGGCACCTGGCTGTCATCCTAGCTTCTTGGGAAGCTGAGGCAGAAGTATCATGAGTTTGAGGCCAGCCTGGGTAACTTAGCAATTTAGCAAGATCCTTTCTCAAAATAAAAAATGAAAAGAACATGTCACTCAGTGTGAAGGCTCTGGGTTCAAACCCTAATACTATTATTTTTTTTCCAAATCCATTTTATTTCAAGGAGAAAAATAAAAATAATGAAAAAAAACTTCTAAAATAAAATTTCAAAACAGGTTAGTGGGGTCAACAGTGGTATATACATCATGCATCATTAACCCCAAATCATTCACCCAAAGCACAAGACATCTGCCTTCAAATATCCAAATAACACCAGCACAAATCTTTCCCTTCTGCAAACTCAGATAAATCAGTAGTGTAACTATCTTAACTATTTCTTTACATATGTATACATAGACATATACATATATGTATGTATGTATACATATACATACATAGACATACTCATGCACATATGTTGTTTCTTTCAGCTTCTCACACTTATGAGACAATGCAATGTTTACACATGTGTCTTATTTATTTCACTTATGAGTATAGTCTCAAGTTGCATTTATTTGCCTATAAAAGTCTCCAGTTTATTCTTTAGGGCTGAGTAGTACTCCACTGTAGAAAAATACCACCTCTTTTTTTATCCATTCCTCAGTTGACAGGCACTTGGGTTATTTCCAAGATCTGGCTGTTACAAATTGTGCTGCTATAAACATGGGTGCGTGTATATCGATGTCAAGGCATGGTTTTGCACATCTGTAATCTCAACACTCTAGAGGCAGAGTCAGGAAGATCACTACAAACTCAAGGCCAGCCTGGGCTACGTGGTGATTTCGAGGTCAGAACTACACATCAGGACCTCATCTCCAAAAAAAGCAAAATGAAACAGAGCAAATAAATAGAAAGAGCTGGGAATGTAGCTCTGTGCACCCGGAGTACCTACACCCAGCGCTGAGTGTTACTGGTCACTGGTCACAGCACACTGGGCGCCCAGTGTGCCCCAGAGACTGCTGGGGAGGCTGAGGCCAGCCCTGCTCTCTCCCATCTGGCCAGACTGTGGAGCTCCCTCCCCACGGCCCATTGTCCTGAGGATTTGGCCCCGGGGCCTTCAGACCTTGCACAACCTGACCCACTTATTTCCTGGCCTCAGCCTCTGGCCTTAGTTCCCACAGCTACTGGGCCAGCAATCCAGATCCAGGCTGGACACAGGCTGTGCCTGGACCCCAAAGGGCCTTGTGAGCCTAAACCCAGCTTTTAAAGTGATCCTAACCCCCACGTCCAGTGCTGCCACCTCGTCCCCACATGCCCAGCCTCGGCCACACTCCGCTTCCTCCCGCATCACCAGCTACACCCTGGCAGGACGTGTTCAGTCTTTTTTTTTTTTTTTGGAGACAGTCTCCCCAAGTCACTAAATTGTCCAGGCTGAGTTCAAATTTGAAATCCTCCTTCCTCAGCCTCCCAAAATCACAGGTGTGCTCAGTATGACCAGCTGTGCATAGGGCTTTACTGAACACCTGCTATGGGCTGGACTGCCCCTGGAGCTAAGGTAATGGGTGAGCCAGACCTGGGAGCGGGAGAGTCAGAGGCCCTTTGCGAGGGTTAAACACAGCCCCTGGTCATTTCAAGCTGTAGAAGGTGCTGGAAAGGAACTGGCGGTGAGCAGTGGGGCGAGGAGATGATGGTGCTGACCTGGCAATGATAAAGAAGGGGGGCCAGCGGAGCTTTTAGGGTTTCTTGCGGCCCTCTTTCACTCCCTCTGGGTCCCCAGCCTCTGAACCAGCGGGCTTTCCAAGTCTCATCTCCAACGCAGGGCCCTGCAAAGAGCTGCGCTCCTCCGAAGACCCCTCTGGAGGTCTCAGCCTGGCGCTGCTGGCCGTTCTGGGCTGCTGTCCAGCAGGGGTGTTTGCCCGGGGTTCCCAGGATGGCGTTGTCACCTCTCAAGGCGTGAAGAGCCGGCAGGGGCGGGTGCCGATTCCGGCCTGGAGCAGGGTGGGGAGCGCTGTGGGCCTTGTCCTACCCAGCCCAACCGCAGGCTGCCCCAAAGGGCAGACAGATAATGAGTCCTTCCCGCCCCTGGCCCCAGAGAGGGAGGGGTTTCCTGACAGGAAATTGTGCTCCTCCAAGCCCTCCCTCCTCAGACCCAAGCTCGCTGCAGTCCTGGCCCAAGTAGGCTGGGGACAGGACCTCAGTGGGGACAGAGAGACAGGCGGTGAGTGTGCTGCGGCAGGCGGCGGGCGGGAGGATTCACACCCAGACCCCCTTGGAAAAGAGGCCCAGGGACCTGAGTCCGGCTCCCGGGAGGCACGGGGCGGACAGGGCAGTGGAGAAGCTGCATCTGGCACCTGGGGGCGCAGCTGGTGCCAGGGCAGGCAGGAGCAGCAGGTGGGAGCACGAGGCCGGTGCAGGGGAGCAGCCAAGTGTAGGGGGGCTCTCTGGGGGGCTTTGGACTATGGACGGCACAGAACAGTGGGAGACAGGGCATCCAGCTGGGAAAGCTGAGCCCGCAGGGACCCAGTGCTGGCTCCATCCTGAGAGCTGGGTGCAGACGCAGAGCTGGGGTCTCAGGGACGGTGCTGGGCAAGGCTGGGACTGGAGGCCGCCGTGAGCTGGACAGGGCCCGGCTGGGGACGGGATGTGTTCCTCGGAGTGAGGACCAGGTTGGGGCTGTACCGGCTGGAGTCGTTTGGGGACAGGCAGTTTCTAGGGACCGTTTGGGTACAGATGCTGGGGACTGCGAGGGGCCAGACTGTGCGGAGGGAGGCTGGCAGCCGCGAGGAAGGGGAGGAGGGGCCGCGGGGGGAGGCGCGAGGAGGCGCGGGGAGCCGAGACATCCTGGGGGGGCGCCGCGCAGGGGCGTGAGGAGCTCCTGGAAGTGAGTCAGGGGCCGACGCTGGGAGGCAGAGAGGGCACTGGAGGGGCAGGATGTGCGGGCAGCTTGCAAGGGGAGTGCTGGAGCCAGGAAGGGGAAAGAGGTCGGGGCCACTTTGGGGCAAATGCTCCTGCCAGGTTTGGGGAGCACTGGGCATGGTTTGGGGGTATCGGGTGTATTGGGGGGATGTCTGGGGCTGCTCGAGGAAGTGGCATATCCAACTTGGGCAGCAGGGGCTTCGGTGGAAGGGAAACTGGAGCTTTCAATGAAGGGGGTGTGGGGTGGTGACAGTTTTGGGGGGACATAGGAGTCCTTCGCAGGATGAGGCCTGTGGAAGTCGGGAGACAAAGCCAGAAAATTCAGCGTGTGAACAGCGTGGTGCGTGTGGGTTGGGGGGGTGAGGACTACACACAGCCACAGGTGGAGGGGAGCTACAGGCAAGAGCTGCCCCGGTGACTGCCTCCCTGGGGAGCAGGGGACCATGGCGACTGGAGAGAGGGTCAGAGGGTGTTTCTAGAAACAGAAGGGCTGAGAAGCAACAGCTGATGCGTATAGCTTGAAATGGGTAAAAAGGGGGTGCGTCGCTCCAGAAGGAGGTGCTCTTGATGCCAGCTCCAGCCCTCACTCAGCCTCAGACACTGCCCTGGCCTGGCCCTCACCTGCCCAGCCTGTGGCTCCCAGTGAGCCTCGGACATTTTATTTACTCAGTTTTACCCTAGTCACACAGGGGAATACTATGCAGCCCATAAAACAAACCAACCGGAGCCATACAGACTGACATAGGTAAATTTCACAAGTTCACAATTGAGCAGAAGGAAAAAGAAAAAAGTCAAGCTGCCATGCTACCATTTACGGAGAGTCTGAAGCTACATGGGTCAGTCCGTCATCTCTGGACCCAGTCGATGCAGGCAGGGGCTGCGGAGCTGCTGGGTACGTGGCCAGCACGGTGCAGAGGCCTGTTCCCTTGGAATAAAGCTGCATGCTGTGGGATGGGGGAGGCGTCAGGGCGCTGCAGTACATCTGAAGTGTACACAAAACAAAAGAAACAGGAGAAAAGCATGTAGTGCAAAGTTTTGCATCAGCAACAGCTAGGATTATAAGAGCTGGGGTGTGTACTGCCCACTCTCTGTTTATTTTTTTGGTTGTTTGTAGTCAGGCTGTCTGCTATGAAGCTCAGACTGGTCTTGAATTCACTGTGGAGCCTCAAACTTGTGGCAATGCTCCTGCCTCAGCTTCCCGAGTGCTGGGATTACAGGCGAGCCCCATGACAATCCGCTGTTGGTTTTTGGTGATGCAGAGGTTTGAACCCAGGGCCTCTGCACTGAGCCACATCCCCAACACTTTCGTTTCTGTTTTCACTAAATTGCCCAGGCTGGGCTTGAATTTGTGATCCTCCTGCCTCAGCCCAAGGGCTAAGATTACAGGGGTGCACCACCACACTCAGCGTAGAGGACTGCTTTTTTTAAAATGAAGTAGGTCTGGGGGTGTAGCTCAGTACTAGAGTTCCTGGTTTGATCCCCAGCACCGAAGCAGACAGACAAACAGACAAATAGGCAGGCGCTTTGCCTGCTGAGCTACATCCCCAGCCCTCAAGCAAACTAATAAACAAACGCAGCCCTCCAGTGGCCTCAGGAGAAAGCCAAGCCTGCTGTGGGGTTTGGGTCCTGTGTGATCTGCTCCCTGGTGACCTCTCCCAGGACCCACTGGCCCTCCTCCCCACCCAAGGAATGGACTGTCTGGCCCCTTCCTTCCTTTGTTTCCTGTTTAGCACCCATCTCAGAGAGCCTGTCCTGAGCTTGGAACCAGGGACACAACAGTGGCTGAGACAGCGCCAGCCCTGCCCTCTTGGGCTCCCATGCTGGTGTGGGACACAGACCTGTCCCAGGATAGAGATGACCTAGAGTAGGCAGGGCTGGGGTGGGAGAGCCCAGGACTCCTGGAAGGGTCAGGGAGGGCTTCCTGGAGGAGGGCGCACTGGGACTGAGTCCCCAAATCCAAAGAACGGGCTTCTGCTTACAAAGACAGGCAAGCTGGGTGTGGCGGTGCATACCTGTGATCCCAGCACTCTGGGAGGCTGAGGCCAGAGGGTCACACGTTTAAACTCAGCCTGAACAACTTAGTAACTTAGTGAATCCCTGTGTCAAAATAAAAAACAAAACAATCCCTAGTTGGGGTTGTGGGGGGCATAAAACCCAGAGGAGCCTGGAGGCAGAAGGAGGGGCAGCGGGATAGAACTGGTGAGGTGCACAGCTCCCAGGTCGCGTGGGCTGTGATGAGAGCCCTGAGCTTTGTGTCCAAGGGCCCTAGGGAGCCATGGGAGGCTCAGGAGGACAGGAGGAGCTATATTGAAGTCTTCAAAGGTGGAGTAAAGGGGACAGGACTGAAGGGGCTGGAGACAAGAGAGGAGGTAAGCAGGGGAATACGCAGGGGTCAGTCGGGGTTAGGCACTAGGGAAAGGGAGGAAAGACAGGACCAATGGTTGGAGAGAGAAAGAAGTGGGCCGTAGACTTGGTAGGGGTTTTGATTTGTTTGCATTTTGGTAAAATACACGTAACAAAATCCACCATCGCAAACCTTCGGAAGCGTGCACTTCAATGGTGTTTAGTATGCTTACAAAGGCACCAACTAGCTCTACCTAGTTCCAGAAATCCTCATCCCACCAAAAGGGAACCCCAGGGCCAGGAATATAGCCCAGTGGCATAAGCGCCTGCCTGCCTGGCAAGTCAAGGTCCCGAGTTCGATTCCCGGTACCCAAAGGAAACATCCTGCCCTGGCCCTCACCATCCTCCTCTCCATCCCAGCTCACTGGGCTTCTGCTGCTGGGGTGAAAGAGGAGAGGGATAGAGGGGAGAGGGAATCAGCTGGATAGGGACAATGGGGCAAAGGCAGGTGTTTGCTAGGAGGTGGCGTCTGCCCCTAGTGTGCTGTGCCACCTCCCAGCAGCCTCCTCCTCTCTGAGGCAATTTCTTCACAATCGACTGTGGTCACTAATACTCTGGGCACACAGAGAGGCGCTACGCAGTGGTGGACCGTGGTGGGGAGTAATGGGGTGGGGCTCAGCTCAGGGAAGAATCCCGGCTCCTCCGGAATCATGGGTCTGGCTGCAAATCCTAGCTGTGCTCCTGTGCCATGCTGGGGCCTTAGACAAATGCTGGTGCCCTTCCTGGTCCCCATGTGCTCATCTGCAAAGCGGGGATAAGAAGCGAGTGTGACGGCGATGGCGATGGCGATGGTGATGGCCAGTGCAATGGTGTGCACCTGTAACCCTAGCGCTCCGGGAGACTGAGGCAGGAGGACTGGAAGTTCAAGCTTGGAGGACAATTGAGCAAGACTGGCGTCATATAAAAAAGCCCTGAGTTCAGTCTCCAGTGCCACACGAACGGGAGGTGACAGCAGCTGCCCCCTTGCAGGATGATGGGGATACTGGGAAGGGGTTCCTAGGCGCTCAGACCAGTGCCCACAGTGCAGAGCCACCACCCTCACACCACTGATGGTCTCTTTTCCCCCAGGTGCCCACCTGCAAAATGCCCATCCCGAAGAGCCTGAGGGTGACAGATTCTAAGGTGCCCCGGGCAGGGACTCTGCCCCTGAGGTCATCTCGGAACCCCTTTGAGGAAGCTCCAGGGCTGGAGGAAGAGCACGGGGAACTGGGACCCCTGCCCAATGGAACATCCTGTCACCGCCGAGCCACCCTGGAGAAGCTGGCAGGCCTGGGCCCCTTCAGGCTGGGCTGGACCACAGGCCGACGCACAGACAGCCCAGGGGATGGGCAACCCCGCTCTTTCCTGGGCCGAGTGCTGGGCCCAGGGATTCGGAGGAGCTCCGCAGACTTCGGCCTGCTGGCCCGCTTTCAGGGGACCCGGGCCCACGGGGACGAGGAGGCCGGGGATACCGCGGCTCGGAGACTGGCCTTCCTGCGGCTGGGGCGGGGGCCCAAGCCCCGGCGTGCATCCCTGGCAGAGAGGGTGGTGCCTGCTGGTGAGGCCGCTCCTGAGCCCCCACCCAAGGTCCCAGAGCCCCTGAAGATGAAGGAGCCACTGTCAGGTGAGTGAGGGCCCTGACCCAGCCGGGAGGAGTCACAGCGCTGGTTCTGTCCCCACCAGGCACCCATCCAGCCCCTGCACTGTGCATTCACCTGTGTGCCCAACACCAGGTGAAACTCCAATGTGACCCCCAGGATTTGGAACTCAACTCCCTGTGCGGCCCCACCAGCCATGCCCTTCTGTCCACTTCTGGCGCCCACTTTCAATCTCGAGCTCCAGCCCCAATCTCCTCCTCCATCTCCAGTCCTTCTCTGTCCCACTGTGAACCCTCAGTCTCTCCCAGTCCTAGGCCCAGCCCTGGCCCGCACCCTGAACTTCACCTGTGGGCTGGACGCCCCCCCCCCCAGCCTGGCACCCCCCGCTGGGTTTCCTAGGTGGCTGTGACAAAGGTACCTAAAGGGGTGGCTTAGGACAGCAGAAGGTGTTGTCCACTGATTCAGCAGCCTGAAGTCAGCTGTCCCTCTATTCATGCTTCTGGTGGCCTGCCAGCCATGTTTTCTTTCTCTTTATTTTATTTATTTATATTTTAAGAGCAGAACATACGTACCGGGGAAAGAGAGTCTCTGTCTGAGAAACAGAAGGGGTCCCCACTGGGCTGCTTACATTTTGGTTGAGACAAGGTCTCACTGTGTAGTTCAGGCTGGCCTTGAACTCACTGTATGGCTCAAGTTGGCCTCAAACTCACGGGGATCCTCCTGCCTCAGCCTCTCAAGTGCTGACCACAGTGCACCACCATGCCCGGCTTGCCAGCTAGCACTGATGTTCCTTGGCTTGTAGATGAATCACTCTGAGCCTTCATCTTCCAGTGGCACTGTCCAGGGTCTCTTCATGCCATCTTCTGTGTGTGTCTGTCTCTGTACCTCGCTTCCCCCTTTTTATAAGAACATGGGACTTCCTGGTTTAAGGCTTATGACCCTATGATCTGTATCTCCTACTTAGGATCAGATTCTAAATTTGGCAAGTTCAAACTTCACATATTTTGGGGGGAGGGATACAGTTCAACCTATACCACCATCCCATTTCCATTCTTTTTTTTTTTTGCGGGAGAGGGGTTTGAGAAGGGACCTTGCTATGCAGTTCAGGCTGGCCTCAACTCTCCCGGATCGTCCTGCCTCAGCCTCCCAGAGTGCTGGGATCACAGGCGTGTGCAATCATGCCCAGCTCCCATCTCCATTCTTAACGCCATTCCTACTTCACACCTCAGTGTCCTCCTCAATGCCCTTTCTGTCCTACGCCACAGGGACCCCAACCTTGTCCTCAGTCTCTGTCCTGGGACACACACATGCTCCTCCCCACCCACCTGGCTCTCGTGGCCACCTGTGCCTGGCTCTGTGAAGGCTTCTCCTATCTCCAGCGATGCCCTCCCCTTTGGTCTCACTCCTCCCCCCAGCCCAGGCAGGCTCAGCACCCACCTTTGACCCCCTCACCCCCTCCTAGTCCCATCCTGCTCCTTCCCGGGCTCAGCCCCTCCCCCCTTGTAGTCCCGCCGTCCAAATCCGCAGGCCCTACCCCCTTCCCACCTCGACCCCTGAGGGCGAGGGTGGCCTCACACTCGCCAGTCTCTGCCTCCTTCCCATCCTCCACTGTCACCTAAACGCATCACCCCCGCACGTCGCCAACTCAACTTAGTCCCCGACCAACCTCATCCCTCGCCACCCTGGCCCTATCCGCATCTCCAAAACACCACCCTCACCCCAGCCCGGTCCCAACCCCCACCTTGCAGCCGGTGACCCAGGCACCTCCAGGACCCCCTCTGTCCTCTGATGCCCTCCACATCCTGGCCAGAGGCTATTTCAGCTCCAGGTCCCGAGGGACTGGGAGGGCACTTCGGGGAGGTGAGGAGGGGGTGACTGGAACCCCCGCCTTCTGGAAACGGATGGGCAGAAATAGCGCTGGCCAGGAAACAGTCTCTCTGCCAGGGAGGAAGCGGCGGGGGAGGTGTCAAGGGTAACGCTGGGCCGTGGGACCCTCCTTCTGCCTTTGCTGTGGCCTCCCCAACCCCAAAGTCCCTTTCCGGGTCAGCCCGACCTCCCCGAGCGCCAGCTCCCCGCTGTCGCCATCCCACCCTAGACCCCATCTCTGGCCTCCCACCCCCACCAGGGTCCCGCTCTTCCCTCACCTGGCCGATCTCCCCCTCGGCCTCAGCCTCTGCAGCTTCCTCTCCTGGAACCCCACCTGCTTGCTTCTTCTCACCGCTCGTGCCGCTATCCCGACTCCCTAACCCTAACTTAGTCCCCAGCCCCAGGCCGTGTGCCCCCACCTGCTCCCTGTCCCGACACCTGCTCGGCAGCAGCTGGCCTCTGCCTCCTACTCGGCCTCTCCCCAGCTCCTGTGCCGTCCCTGTTCTTCCCTCCCCTCTCCTGCCCGCACCTCCACCCCTCTGGCTCGGACGTCCCCTCCCGTACTCCCCTCCCACGCCTGGCCTTGCCGCCCCCGTCACCTGCCCTCAGCTTCCCCATCTCTCACCCCCTCGCCTGCCCCCTTCTCTTCTCTGCACCCCTCCTCGACTCCTCTTTCCGCTTGCGCCTCTCTCCCTGGGGTCCCCGGCCCGATCCCAGCCCTGATCCCGTGACCCTCCCACTCTCCCCTGCCCGTGCCCTCTGGGGTGCCCGCGCTGACCCTCGCCTCGCCCCGCAGTGCTGGAGATCCTGAGCCTGATCCAGCAGCGCGAGCTGGCGCGCGCCGACGAGCACATCCTGGAGCTGGAGGCCGAGGAGCTGGCGTCGTCGGGCGGCGGCGCCCCGGGGCCCCCCCAGGCCGAGGGCCGCCGGGCGCGCGACGTGGCGCTGCTGTACGAGGCCCTGCAGCGCGAGCTGTGGGCGCTGGTGCGCGAGACGCTGGCGGGGCCCGGGCCCGGAGAGGGCGCGGGCGCAGGCGCCGTGGCGCAGCTGGGCCAGGTGCTGGTGCAGGAGGAGGCTGCCGACGGGCGCCGGGGCCCCGGGGCGGCCCGCAAGCTGCGCGCGCGCTGGGCCGAGGCGGTGGCGCGCGCGGCACGCGAGCGCCTGGAAGCCGCTGCGCCCGGGGCGCCGGGGGGCCTGGCGGGGCAGCTGGAGGCGCTGCGCGCGCGGCTGCTGGAGGACATGGCTGTGGTGCGTGGCCGCCTGGCCCCCGCCTACCCCGCCGGCCTGGGCGCCTTCGGCGTCTACCTGCGCGGCTACCACAGCGCGCTGGCCGAGTGGCTGGGGGCCTCCGCCCGCCGCAGGCTGCCGCTGGCCGACCGCTATGCGCTGCTGTACTGGCACAACCAAGTGTACCCCAGGTGAGCGGGGACCGCTGCTGGCAGGTCTTCGAGCCCCCAGCCTCACCCCTAGCCCAAGCGCTGCAGACCCCAGGAACCCTGAAACTGCCCACCCTTGGGGCCCGGAACCTTGACTCTATTTGACCTTAACGGTCCTGTGAGTGCACGGGTGATAGTCACAGCCCTCGAATCACAGTGCTGGCCACTGCCACCTAGTTAAGAGAACCTCAGGGGTATTCCAGGCCCAGAACCTCGGCCTTATCTGCACCCGCAATTCTGGTTTCTAAGCACAGCTCACCCTCCCATTTCCGGAGCCACATGGATCCCCCTGCCCCGCATCTAGAACCTGAGCATTAGACAGTTCCCATCTTAGAGTCTGAGTCTTCCAACTGTAGCACTCTCTACCCTTCCGGCCCTAGAACCACTGACTCCACTGATTCTCTCACTTCTAAAATCTCAGCACCCAATAAAAAACAACCAGCCAACAAACAAAATCTCAGCACTGTTCACCGGGGCCGTCTTGGCAGCTGTGTGCTGTGGACCCATTTGGTGGAGACCAAGGGTTTCACATAACTAGAGTCTGCATGTCCACCTCCTGTCCTAGAGTTAGGACCCTGCTAGGACCTCTGTCCTGCTAACGCTCAACCTTGGTATTGCTGAGCCTCAGAACTCCTGAGCTCTTACCCTGCTCTGTCTCTGGACCTACGGGCATTAGTGCTGTTAATGCTTTCAACCTTAAAACGGTGGCTTTATGATTCTTTCAGCTCTAGACCCTAAATGCCAGCTGGCCTTCAATTCCCCCACAGACTCTTGACCTCTTTGGGTCCTAGGCCCTGACCCTGCTGCCCCTTCTGGTTTTAGTACCATTGCACTGTGGACTCCTCAGATGCTGTAATTGCAGCATCCAGAACCTCTGGGTCCTTGACTTTCCAGGGTTGGAATCTATGGAACCTCTAACCCTAAAACATACCCCTCCTGTGACTGGTGAACAGGACGGGGTGACTAGCTTGCCCCTGGATCCCAGGTCCACTCCAGGAACAAGGGGCTTGGCCACACCCGAACCATACCTTGGCGAGCCTGGGGATGGGTGGTTCCTCCACCAAAGTCAGGATGTTGTCACCAGGAAAACTCCAGCCCCATAGATCCATTGGGGCACACATGTCACTGAGGATGTTGGTCCATCCAGCAGAGGAGGAGGCAGGCCAGGGAGTCTGGACAGCTTCCTGGAGCTGTTTGACAGGGTTGAGTTCAACTTGTGAGGAGATGGCATTTCTGATGGAGCAGATATGATGGGCAAATGTGGGGTGAGGGTTGGGAGGCACAGGGGTGCCCAGCTCAGGTATACAGAGGCAGAGGAAGAGTATGGGGGCCGCACAAGGTGGGAGGCACCAAGGCAGAGGAGCAGAGGCAGAAGGGAGTTCTGTCTGGGGAAGACAGTCATGGGTGCGTCCCTTCTGTCAGATCACCAAGACTGAACTTGACCCTGAAGTCTTGCCCGGACACCATCCATCAGGTGACTCAGAAAGCTGGAACCAGGGGAGCCACCATTCCAAAGATTTCCACTCAGATGAGCAAAGCTGGCCCAGAGAGAGGAAGGGAGTGGCCCAGGGTGATAAACAGTGGGTGTGAGGGCACAAGGATGTGTCCCATCACCCAGTCCTCCCTCAAGACCTCCCTTGTCTTTCACCCCCTCCCCCAGGGAGGTACTAGGACTGGTGGACATGGTCGCTCTGGAGAATGGGGAGCTGGGACCCCTTCTGTCTCCTGGCACTCTTCGGGGTCTGGAGGATGAATGCGTCACAGATGTCAAGGTACCTGGGACTCAGCATTGTGATTTGGGGTCAAGAGGTGATCTGTAGAGCGAGAAGGCTCACTGTGGTTTTGGGGGGCCCTCTCCTCTTTTCACTATTTTTCTGTCCCTTTCCCTCTGTGAGCTTCTAAGTTCTGTCCAAAGGCCAGAACCATAGGAACCCAGACTGGTCACTTCTGTATCCCATGTTGCACCCCAAGCACTTGTCCCTGGGGAGTAGGGATGCTTGGTCAAGGTCCCTTAGAGCAGGAGAACCTAGTCACAGTGCAAACTCTCCCAGCATCAGCCTCAAGCAAATCTGCCCCCAAGGGGCTGAGAGTAAACATGTTTGACATCAGAATGGGCACAGTCATGCCTGAGCAGAGTGGCTCGCTCACCATGCCCCACTGGGCTACAGTGGCATTTCCTGAGTGTTGGGCCTTGCTGCTCCAGAACCTGGAAAATTGAACACGCATAAGCTCAACACACTGCTGAACTGAAGACCACCCCTTGGGTCGGAGCATCAGAGATGCCTGAACCTTTGCTGTTCTCCTATCCCAGAATCTGATGATCTTAAACTGGTCGTTCAGCAGGACCTAGGGGCAGGGTCTGGCATCATTCGGCCATGAGATGCAGACCTTTCCAGTCCGTGGCTGTTAGACGGAGGAAGCCTCCAACCCTAGACTCAGGAGCACCCAGGGGCTGCTGCTTTGGTCTCTCAGTGTCATAGTGTCATGTCAGGGACAACCTAGACCGCTAGGGGACTTTGGACGGGGGGGGGGGATCCTGGCAGGAGAAAGGGAGAAAGACCCCACGCAGCCCTGATGCTGCCTGCCTTCCTTCTCCCTCCAGGCTCAGACTCGGGCAGCCCTGCTTCGGGTGCTGCAGGAGGACGAGGAACACTGGGGGGACCTGGAGGACCGGCCAGGCAGCCTGGCCCAAGATGTGTGTGAGGTAGGAGGTGGAGGGTAAAGGGAGACCTGCTGGCCAGGAGGGGATGGGGCGGGGTGGAGCGGGCCTGATGGGACTGGGAGCCCACCATACCTCACCTCCTGTCCCCTGCCCTGTGCAGCTGCTGGAGGAGCACACGGAGCGAGCACCCCGCATCAGCCAGGAGTTAGGGGAGCGCATGGCACACTGCTGCCTGGGGGGGCTGGCGGAGTTCCTGCAGAGGTACGGGCAGAGGGGCACTGGGGGGGTTGGGTATCAGGGACTAGGGTCTGCCAGAGAGGTGAGGGGGCATCAGGGTAGGGCGAGCAGGACCCGGGCACCGTGGCCCGAGCCTGGACCCCCAGCACCTGGGAGGCTGAGGCAGGACTGCAAGACCGAGCTTAGCCTGGGCAGTTAAGTGACCTTCTGAGAACATCACAAAATAGAAAAAAAAATTGTTTTTGAAAGGGCTGGGGATGTAGCTCAGTGCCTTGGGTTCAACTTCACCCAGTACTAGGAAAAAAACTAGGTAGAGGTGTGTGTGGGGGAGTGTGTGGACCCTGCCAGCTGTCCCTTCCCCTCCACCAGCTTCCAGCAGCGCGTGGAGCGATTCCACGAGAACCCAGGAATCCGGGAGTTGCCATCTGACACCTACATCAGCAGGACCATCGCACTGGTCAACTGCGGGCCCCCCCTGAGGTAAGAGCACCAACAGGCAACCCCCTTGCATTGAGGAGGTGCAGGGGAGCAGCCGAATTGGGGTGTTGGTTCCTGGGCGGGGATCACAGAACTGAAGCAGGGAAGGTGCCTGTCACATGCCAGCCTTCGGTGAAATCCCGGAGTCCTAGAAACAGCTGTGCCATCACGGAAGATTAGGACTGGCATCAGAGTATTGAAGTGCGACGAGGTGTAGTGGTGCCCACCTGTGATTGCAGCAGTCAGGAGGCTGAGGCAGGAGGATCACAGTGAGTTTGAGGCTCCACAGTGAGTTCAAGGCCAGCCTGGACTACACAGCCAGACCCTGACTCAAAACCCCAAGAGAGATAAGAAGGACGAGGAAGGAGAATTATAGTAATCTAGAAGCCAGACTCAGTGATCCTAAGAATTATTGTTTTTCTTTTTGTCTTTGTATGGATTTATTTTAAATTTCATTTTTCAAATTTATTCATGCATGGTTGATAAAGAAGCGGTTTTTCCTGAATATTTTGTCAGTGGTGGTTGGAGCCCACAGAGGCAGCACGGTGGATGCTCAGGCTGTGGATGCTCAGGGCTGGCTGTGTTTGACAGAGCATTGTGGCTGCTCCTTCCCTGTCCCCCTTAGCAGCGTCCACAGTTTCCATTATGCTTAGCATCCACGTTCTAGGCTGAGCCTGGGGCTCAGTACGTACCACGGAGAAAAATTCCCCATTTCTTTTACTGTTGGAACCATGTGGAGTCCGCTGCCTGGCAGGCTTGTCATTTGTTTACTAGTCCCCAATGGATGGACACTGGTTCCACATTTCCAGGACACGTGTCACCTCCTGTTAGCATCCTGCTGGGCCCAAGGCTGCTTCCTTAGGTGAGGGGAAGCGGGGTCCAGGGAACACAGCTCCTCCCCGCAACAGTGAGAGACCAGGGCAGAATCTCACAGATGCAGACTACGGGGAGAGCCACAGACAGAATGAAAGGCTCATCACAGTCCCCCAGAGAGAGAGAGAGAGAGAGAGAGACAGAAAGAGAGAGAGAGAGAGAGAGAGAGAGAGAGAGAGAGACAGAGAGAGACAGAGAGAGAGACAGAGAGACAGAGAGAGACAGAGAGACAGAGAGAGACAGAGAGACAGAGAGAGAGAGAGAGAAAGAGGGACAGAGAGACAGAGAGAGACAGAGAGACAGGGAGAGAGAGAGACAGAGAGAGAGATACAGGTGCACACCTGTATTCTCAGCACTCTGGGAGGCTGTGGCAGGAGGGTCAAAATTCCAGCCCAGATTGGGCAATTTATTGATTTATGGAGACTCTATCCCACAGTAAAAAATTAAAAGGGTTGGGCTTGTTGTTCGGTGCAGAGATATCAACGCCTGGCACACACGCACACACAGAGACCTGTGTGCCCCCAAATACCCTAGACTCCCCTAGACATCTCCACATCTTCCAACATCCCCCCACTCCCTGGAGACCCTCCCCTCTCCCAATAGCCCACAGAACCCTGGGCTCCAGACATCTCCAATCCCTCAACATCCTCCTTTCCCTGAACATTCCACGGCTTCCCTGACCTGCAAATCCTGGAGCGCCCCCTCCATCCTCTGAAATTCTTTATTTTGAAACAACGTCTTGCCACGTAGTTTATTTAAATTGGTCTTGAACTCACTGTATGGTTCAGGATGTCCTTGAGCTTGTGGGGTTTCTTCTGCCTCAGCCACCTGAGTCCTGGGGCTGCAGCCATGCAGCATCGGCCCGCCTTCCCATGTCACTTTCCAGCCTCTATAGCTTCCCAGGCCTGTGACCTTCGTCACTTTCGGATCTCTGTGGAAGGGGGCAGTGGTCCAGGGAGCTGGGCTGAGATCTTTGGGTTCCCTGACTTTTGGCTCTGCTTTGATCCCCCAGAGCTCTGGCAGAACGGCTGGCCAGGGTGGGGCCCCCCGAAAGTGAGCCGGCCCGGGAAGCCTCGGCCAGCGCTCTGGACCGTGTGACCCGGCTGTGCCACCGAGTTCTGGCCGACCTGCTGTTCCAGGAGCTGCAGGTGAGGCAAGGGCTGGGGTGGGGCCATCCCGGGACAGGGGGTGCATCCTGCCCTGCAGTCTCCTCAGCCCTGGTCTCAGTGTTTGGGAAAAAGGCTGAGTAGGGGTGACGGGGCAGGGGTGAGCACAGGAGGAAGGAGAGAGAAGGTGGCCAAGGGGAGTACAGAAAGCCATCAGTGGGTGGAGGCTGGAGTGGAGCCTTGTCCTCTTGAGGTCCCCAAAATCTATGCCCAGGGTCCCCTTTCCCTGCTTTGAATCCTCCGAACAAAAGCCAGAGTCCTTGTCCTGGTTCTTGTGGCCCTGCATACCTGCCCTGCCCCCTCTCAGCCTTCGGCTCCCTGCATACCCACTGAAGCCAAGCAGCCCCTAGGCCTTTGCACCTGCCATTCTTGGGCCACTGTCCTTCTGCCAAATGCCCCTCAGTCCCTGTCTCACATCTTTCACGTTGTGAATGAAATGTCACTTTCTCAATGAGACCATCCCTGATCATCCCACGTCACACAGATTCACGTGTAGTTCCAGATACTCAGGAGGCTGAGGCAGAGGATTGCTTGAGCCCAGTTCAGGGTCAGCCTGAGCAACCCAGTGAGAACTTGTCTCTAAAAAAGAAGCCCGAGGAGGCCTTTCCTTCTGCCTTTCTGCTGTTTATCTCCCATGGCACTTTCTGTCACCTGCCATCTATGTCCTCATGTCTTTATCATGGCACTAGTGATGGAGCCCACTAGGCACGTGCCCTCCCACTGAGCTGTAACCTCAACTCTTTTTAATGTTATTTAAAACCTGAGTCCTCCTGGTGGAACGGTAACTCTTCAAGTGCAGGAATTGGTGGAAGTTTTCTAAAATAACTTTTTGTTATGGAAAACTTTAAGCATACATAACCCCAAGCAGCCAGAATGACGCAACGACTCCCACGCATGCAGGGCTCAGGCCAGCCTGTGTTATCTCGCCTGTCTTGTCTTCTTCCCCCACCTTGCCAATTATTTGTCTCTTGTGTGGCTCTGGGGATGGGACCTTTGGCTTGCACTGAGTCGACCCCTGGCCTTCCCCCACAGAATCCTGTCATTTCCTTTATCAGTCTATCTCCAAAAGACAAGACTTTTTTTGTTGTTGTTGTTTTGTTTTTTGAGACAAGATCTCACCATGTAGTTCAGGCTGGCCTGGACTCACTATGTAGCCTAGAGTGGCCTTGAATTTTTGGCAATCCTCCTGCCTCAGCCTCCCGAGTGCTGGGATTACAGCTATGTGCCACCACACCACGCTAGAAATCTTTTTAAAGCATATATAACCAACTACATCATTTTTCGGAGGGAAGTCTTTTTTTTTTTTTTTTTTGTCTTTTTCCTTTTTACTGGTACCAGGGATTGAACTCACGACTGCCTACTTCCAAGGCAGGCGCTTATGCCGCTGAGCTAAATCCCCAGCCCCCCCCCCGGAGGGAAGTCTTAAATGCAGCCCAGGCCAGCCTCAAACTCATTATTTAGCCCAAGTGGGCATCAAATTTGCAATCCTGCCTTGGCCTCCTTCAACGTTGGGATTGCAGGTGTTTAACAAAGTCATTTTATATCTAACAAATGGGACACCGATTCCTTGATATCATCAGGTACAGACTTAGCGTGTCCTTTACGCAGGGCGTGAAACTGGGAGAACCTCAACTTGCTGAATGCTTCCCACACGCCTCGGAGATGGGTTTACCCTGGGCTGGGTTTAGCCAGGACTGGGGTTAGGCAGGGCAGTGAGACCCGGCCAAGGCTAGAACTAGTCTCGAATATAAACCACTCTGTGTTGAGAGCGAGAGAAGGAGAAGGAATAAGGTGAGTCAGGGAGAGAAGGAGAGAGATTAGGGAGACAACCGGGACAGAAGGAGAAACAGAGAGACAGCGCAGGAGAGCAGACAGCACTGCCAGCCTTGCCTGCTCAGACCCCGCGGAGGAGGTGGGTGCAGGTTTGAGGCGCTTCTGCGCATGCGCAGGCAGGCATCCGGAAGTCAGGCCAGCAGTGGGGGGCAGTGCCTGGAAAAGGGGGAACATTTTGTAGATTACTTCGTGCCCAGCTTTTTTTTTTTTTAAACAAAACCCCCATTTTTGGAAGTTCTGAAAACTCACTGCAGTGAGGACGAGTGTGGGAAAGGGTCCCGGGGCCGCGTGGGATGGGGAACTCTGCGTGGGTGCAGGGCTGCGCTGGCTGTGGCTTTTGCTCCCCGCAGGCTCTTCTCGGGTCCCGCCCTCCCGGGTGGCTGCCACCTCCCGTGACTCCGACCCTCTCTCCTCCCCTCTCCTCTGTGTTCTGCCAGCCGCCTCGCTAATCCCTGCAGGCTCCAGCCTTGTCTTCTCACGTCTCACTTCTCCCTCCAAGCTCTCTCCCTGGGCCTGGGAGCCAGGGCAGGTGTGAGGCGGGGCCTCCTGCCCACCCCGCTCCCGTCTGGGCCCACACTGAGCCTGGGCTTCTGGGTCGCCAAGTCCCCTAACACGTACTTTAAAAGGCCCAAGGTTGGAAGCCAGGTGTGGTTGCTCACGCCTGTGATCCCAGCTCTCGGGAGACTGAGGCAGGAGGGTCACTGCGAGTTTGAGGCCAACTTGGGTTACAAAGTGAGTTCAAGGCCAGTCTGAACTGCATAGTGAGAGCCTGTAAAAAAAAAAACAAAAACAAAAACAACAACAGAAAAAACAAAACAAAAAAGAAGGGCCCAGGGTAGGTAAATGCTCTGCTGTCACTGTCTTGAAGTTCTTAATAATTTCTAAACTTGGTTACCATGGTTTCACTTTGCACTCGGCTGGAAGGATTATGCAGATGGTCCTGCCTGCCTCAGTGACCCTTTTCCTGGCCTTTAGACCCAAGTGTCCATCTAAAATCGGAGGCTTCCTTGCTCTCCTGTCACTTGACCAGCAGTGACCTTCACCGGGTCTCCGCAGTCCCAGCCCCCGCCAGCTGTGGATTTTCACCGTCTGGATACCATTTATTTCTCCACTGGGCCAGCCGCAAGACCCGGCAGGGCAGGGCAGGGCACGGCAGGGCGGTGACCCTGAGCCCCCCCCCCCCCAGGGTCAGCCCCTGGGGCTCAGCTGCTCTCCTCCGGAGAGAAGGTGAAGAGACAGGAGGCTGTGACGGGCTGTGCTCTGTGTTCCCCTCTCCCCAGCCGCACTTCAACAAGTTGATGCGCCGGAAGTGGCTGAGCAGCCCCGAGGCGCTGGACAGCATCGTGGGCACCCTGGGCGCACAGGCCCTGGCGCTGCGCAGGATGCAGGACGAACCTTACCAGGTGCAATGGGGGGCCGAGGTGGGGCCCGTGCTGCGGCTGCTCCCTCAGAACCAGAGACCTGTGCACTTTGTGTGTGGGGGGTGTCTACGGGGAGGGGGGCACGCCCCTGGGAACTGGGGTGCAGGGCCATGCTGGAGTCCATGGGGGAGGCTAAAACGGGCATCCTTTGGCGGCCTGAAGGAGGAATCCGCCGGCAGAGTCAGGGCGACACTGGGTAGACCGGATCACGGGTGGGAGTCTGGAAGCCCTCTTGATCTTGAAGGCTGGGGATGGGGAGCGTCAGCCCCTGGGGTTCAGCTGCTGTCCTCCAGAGAGAAGGTGAAGAGACAGGAGGCTGTGACCGGCTGCGCGCGGCCTGTCAGCCTGCGGCCCGGCGGGGCGAGTAGTGGGCACAGGAGTGCTCACCTCCCCCTCTCGTCCCTCTGGGGTCCCCAGACGCTGGTGGCCGAGCTGCACCGGCGCGCGCTGGTGGAGTATGTGCGGCCTCTGCTCCGCGGGCGTCTGCGCTGTCGCTCTGCGCGGACTCGCAGCCGCATGGCAGGGAGACTTCGTGAGGACGCGGCGCAGCTGCAGCGGCTGTTCAGGCGGCTGGTGAGTGCGACCTGACCCTCTGGCTTTGGGGGACAGCAGCCCAGGACCCTCTGATCCACCCTTGGCGCGGAAAATCCTGCTTTCTCTCTAGGAAAGCATCTGCTGGGTGTTTTATTCAGCCCCCTAAATAAGATCTCTGTGGGGGTTGGGGGATTCCATCTCTTAATTCCTGTTACAGCCAAGCTGTAACCCTTGGGTGGTACCCTGCCAAGCTGCCACCTATAAATGTTAGTTGTTATTTTTATGAGCATAGTTGAAGCTAAATGCAGAACGGGTATGGTGGCACATGCCTGTAATCTCTGCATTCTGGAAGGCTGAGGCAGGAGGACTGCAACTTCAAGCCCAGGATGTAGATGCAGCTCAGTGCAAAGACCTGGGTTCAGTCACCAGTATCCCCCCATGCCCTAAAAAACTGAAATGTAACAATCACTCAGGATCCTGATCCAAAAACTTGAAACAGAGAAGTCTTTTTGCTACACAGTTGCAACCAGGAGGGCCGGAAGGCCCTTGCTGTACGGCTATTTCACATTCTCCCCTGGCCTCTTTGTTTTGGAAACATTCTGAGACAACCCTGGGTTTGCGTGTGGTTTTAAGACAGGGCTCACAGTGCAAAGACTTTCTCCAGTTCCCCAGGATGGCAACACATTTTGTGACCTTGCAGTAGTTTTTGAGTTTAGGATGCCTAGCTTCAGTTATCTGCAGGACTAAGAAGATATTACGGATTTTGCTTCAAGCACCTGACGATTCTGGATAACCTCTAATCAGTGTCTTCTTTTCTTCTTTTTAACTAAGAATTTAATCCAGGGTCTTCACACGCAGCTGTATTCCTAGTCATGTTATTATTGAGGCAAGCAAATCACTAAACTGCACAGGCTGGGCTAGAATTTGGAATCCTCCTGCCTCAGTCTCCCAGAGTGCCAGGATTATTGTACATGTTCAGCTGACTCTTTTCATAGGGAAACAGGCCAGCAGGAGCTAGATGGGCAGAGGCCCCCCTCTTGTGGAGGGGTATTTGGGGAGGGCACGGAGCACAGACTGAGTCCTGCACCCTCCTGCAGGAGTCCCAGGCCTCGTGGCTGGATGCTGTGGTGCCACACCTGGCCGAGGTGCTGCAGCTGGAGGACACGCCCAGCATCCAGGTGGAGGTGGCCGTGCTGGTGCGCGACTACCCTGACATCAGGTGAGAGCTGGCCTGATGCCCACTGCTTGCCGGCCAGGTCTCCAAGGTCCTGGCCTCCGTCCCGTTTCCTGCCTCTTGGGCGAGGGCGGTAGGCGGCGAGCGTGTCTGACGGCCGTTTCCTGCTGCAACCAGGGCATTATTAATACGATTTCCCTCCTTCTCCTGCGGCCGCCGCCACCACTGCCGCCACCGCCACCAGGGCTCACAAACAAACAGGCAGTCACAGGAAGCCTGGGGCAGGGGGGGCACAGGCTGCCCGGCAGGAAGGGCCGGCCCTGCAGGGAGCCTGGGGGACGTGGGGACACGCTGGGCACGGGGCACACATGCAGTGGGGCAGTGGTGGGCACCATCCAGACCCTTGAGGGCCGCTTCCTTTCTGTGTGACATTCTGAGCCTCAATTTTCTCATCTGCCCCGGGGATACCAGCATGTCTTAGTGGGATTCTTGGGGAATTCCTTATCGTTGTCATTGGTGACAGTTCTGCTGAAGCCCTTCATCCTAAATAAGCACTGTTCCCCCAGCACTGGGGACTGACCCCAGAGCCTTCACCCTGAGCTACATCCCCAGCTCCTTTTTTTTTAAATTTTGGAACACGGTCTCACTAAGTTGCCCAGGCTAGGTTTGAACTTTGGATCCTCCTGCCTCAGCCTCTCAGAGTGCTGGGCTTGCATGTGTGTTTTATCACAGCCAGCTGTCAATAAGCATCTCGTGTGCCGACCTCTTACGGGGTCAAATCCAAGCCACTTTGGAAACCACATGCAAATAACTCACCTGCAGCAGGTGGCTGTCAGTTAGTCAAGGGTCAGTGCTGGGATCTGAACCCAGGCAGCTGGCTGGCTGGAAAGCCAGTACTGTATGCTGGACCATCATCCTGCATTGCCATCTGTGCCTGCCTGATGGTGGTGTTGGTGACAGCAGCCAGACCAGGGGACAAACCCCAGCATGGAGACGGAGGCAGGAGCAGCTCTAGGCTTGGGGAGGGGGGCGGTGGTTGAAGGTCTGATTCAGGGGAACAGGGTCACCCTCTGGGAGGCCCGGATCTCAGAGCCACGGTGTCCCCAGGGTGCCGGCATTCCTGCTGGTTGACGTTCTGCCTGAGCTGTGACCACGGGCCGGGCCGTGTGGGAAAGGGCGGAGGGAGGCCAAGGCTTTGCTGTAGTGTGCTGTAGGTGTGCTGGTACCCAGGCGGAAGTCAGGAGACGACTGAGCTAAACTGGGGGTGAAGACTGAAGGGTAATTTAATCACAGGCTGAGACTTGGGGTGCAAAGGGTCCAGCGCTGGTGAGGGGAAGGCTCTGGAGTAGATTGTAAGAGGAGGATCCGGGCAGGCCAGCCGGCTCCGGGATGAGGGAAGACGTGGCACAAAGGGGCTCAGGTGGGTCCAGGACTGCCGTGCACCTGTCGGGTCCTCTGTCCCCAGGCGGAAGCACGTGGCAGCCCTGCTTGACATCCGAGGCCTGCACAGCACAGCTGCCCGGCAGGAGATCCTGGCCGTGGCCCGGGACCTGGAGCTGTCCGAAGGCGGGGCGCTGCCGCCTTCTCGGGACCACGCTTTCTTCGCCGACATCCCCGTGCCTCGCCCGGCCTTCTGCCTTGGCCTCCCTCTGGTGCTGGGCCGCCTGCCTCTCTCCCGGCTGGCCAGGCCCAGCTTGGCCTGTCTGCCCCTGCGTGCTCGGCCCCCGTTGCCGCGGAGGCCCCGGGCCCAGTGCTGAACGGCTCCCAGCCCTGTGCCTCGGTGTCTCCAACTTGCTGCTGATGCCCTCTGCCCCGAGACTCCGTGCCTGGGACACAGAGCCTTGCCTGGCAGGACCCTTAGTGTTCATCTTGCCCTTCCCCAAATTTCCCTACAGAAGGACACAGAGGCCAGCGGGAGCAGAGACTTCCCAAGGCCACAGAACTGTGCCTGGCTCCTCCCTCTCCGTGGTCCAGGGTGGCGGTGGAGATGGTGGTGGCCATGGCGGTGGCGGGTGTTCTGGAAGGCTGGACAGAAATATCCCAGCCCCCCTCCCCCTCACCTCAAGGTCTGGCCCAGATCCAATGTATTAAGGAACGTTCGATACTTAGAATAAAGAGGTTTCTATTTAACACTAGGAAGGGCTGAGTCCCACATGTGGGGGAGGAAGGATGGGGACAGGGCCCTGGGCCAAGCGCTCCTCACCGCCCACAGCCGGGCCTGGGTCCAGCACTGGCCGCACAGGGCCAGAAGCTCTCAGCTGCCCCTTCGCACCAGGTCCCTGGGGCTGTGTGGCTCTGAGGCAGGGCCTTGGCCACTCTGAGCCAGGCACTGTCACATTGTCCTCTTTCTCTGGGCCTGGGGGCTCCTGCTTGGCATGGCTTCCTCATCCATCCTCAGCGGGAAGCCGAGTCAAGAGAGGAAGGAGGTTGGGGGTAGGGCCGGTGGCATCCAGGGCGCCCTCCTGGGTTGACACAGGAAAATCTCAGGGTGGGAAAATTTTCAGGCTCTCACCCCCAGCCCCGCCGGATCCTGGTCCCCATGGAGACCTGGAGGTCACCTCCCTGCTGACCCCTGCCCCTCCGGCCTCCGCTGGACAGCACATGATGGATGCTTCCTGGCCTGTGTTGTGTTTTATTCTTCTCCCTGAGAAGTCAGAAAGAGGAGGCAGCCAGGGGTCAGCACTGGGGCTGTGGCTGGAAGCTCACGCACACAGGCACCCACGTGTGGAGCCTCGGGGCTGTGCTGTGTGGCCCTGGGCTGGAAGTTGGCCCTCTCTGGGCTGCCATTCCTCTCCTCGTGGGGGAATCAGCCTCCGATCTTCAATCTTCAATCTTTGGTCTTTGTGCTTTACCCCGCAAGGTGACGCTTCCAGCGTCTTTGATATGCACAACAGCAGAGGATTTGTAGGAATTTGCACAATTACAGGTGTAATCTGCTGGGTTCTTTTCAGATTGTGACCCCTCATTCAAAATCAGCTTTGTGGACTGGGGTCATAGCTCAGTAATGCAGCGCCTGCCTGGCAAGCACAAGGTCCTGAGTCTGATTCCTGGTACCAAAAACCCCCAAAACCCAGCTTTATCAAAATATGATTTCCATAACAGAGAACCCATTTGCTTAAAGTGAATCACTGGAGTAAAGTGTGCTGGCACCAGCCTATTAATCCCAGCACTCCGGAGGCTGAGGCAGGAGATCTCCCTGAGTATGAGGCCAGCCTGGATTACATCGTGAGCCCAAGAACAGCCTGAGCTACACAGAAAGACCTGTGTCAAGAACCCAAATGCGAATAAATAAAGTGAACCATTCAGTAGTCCTTTCTTTTTAAATAGGCAAGCCTGTATCACTAAGCTACATCCGCAGCCCTGTGTAAGAATTCTTACTTTTATTTATGTTTTTGTGATACTTGAGATTGAATCCCAGGGTGCTCTACCAACTGAGCCCTGTCTCCAACCTCCTTCCTTTCTCTTTTTACTTTTTTTTTTGTCTTTTTGAGACAGTCTCTCTATCCAGTCCAGGCTGGCCTTGAGCTCACTTTGTGGCACAGGCTGGTCTCGAATTTGCAATGATCCTCCGGCCTCAGCCTCCCGAGTGCTGGGATTGCAGGCGTGAGCCACCACGCCCGACTCTCTCTGTACTGTTTTGAGACAGGGTCTCACCAACAGGCAGGCCTTGAACTCACCATGTAGACAACAACATTTAGGTTGTTTCCACTTTGCAGCTAGCATGAGTGTTTTGTAGCGTGGGCCTCTGAGAAGCTTCTACCTTGCTTCGCACCTCAGTTTGCACAGCTGTCGGTGGGGTATGCGAGACCCTAACGGCTGCATTAGTTAGGTGCTTACTGAGTACCAAGTACCGTGTTCACATGGATTCACTTAACAAACTTTCAGGCTCAGAGATAGGAAGTCTTTTACCTGACAAGGGCTAGGCAGGATTTCCCTCCCCAGACGTCCTGGCTGGTGCAGCAGCCTCCCTTCCCTGTGACAGGGACCTTGGCAAGGGCACGGGTGTGGACTTTTGCCACGAGTCTTGACCCCATGGAAAGCACCAGAAAGATGATTCACAGCAATTTGGACTCAGATGTGGGTTCAAATCCCAACTCCACCCTTTTCTGCTCTGGGACAGATTTCCAAGGTGGCTGTTCTGGGGAAAGTGCTGGCTGACTGTCCCAAATGCCAAGCCTCTCATGTCATTGTCCCCCATCCAAGGAGGAGAGGCTCCTCGTGCAGCCCTGGGAGGTTGGGCACCTGTGGGAACTCAGTATACTGGAGGCCGAGGCTGGGATTCAGACCTCCACCCAGCCAGCTCATGGACTCAGACCATCCACCACTGCCCACTGGGCCCAAAGTGGACACAACTGCAGAGCTCACCAATGGACATGGGGACAAACACAATGGGACATGTGTACATGGCAGACACCGTGGTTTGACGATAGAAAGGAAGCATCACCAAATGCGGTGGAGCATGTCTGTAATCCCAGGACTCAGGAGGTTGAGGCAGAAGGATTCCAAGTTAGGGTCCAGCCTGGGAAACTTACTTAGTGTGATCCTGTCTCAAATAATAAAAAAGAGGGCTGGGGGTGTCACTCAGTATAAAGCCCTTGGTTCGATCCCCAGTGCCCGAAGTGGGGGTGGGGAAGATGGGACCTAGGGTGAAGCTGTAGCTAGGATCTAAAAGACAGAAAATTCTGGAAAACAGCAGCATGGGGCAGGCTGGGATGCCTCCACGCTGGGCCTCCCAGTCCCATCCCCAGCCCGAGGGAGGATCTGGACACCTCTGGGTCCCTTAGGCTTTCTGATGGCTGTGGGTCAGCCCAGGTCATTTTCCAAGGTGAGTGGTGTGGGCTGTGTACCCAGCGACACCTGTGCCTCACTGTGATTCACAGCCAGTTCAGGAACAAGCAGGGCCTGTGCCCGGGCCCTCTGCAACTTGCACTCCCATCCATGAACCTGGACGCCCTGCCGGGCCCCACCTCCCTCTGCACCCCAACTTGTCCCCTGAGGCCCCTCCCCCATCTCTACCTCCCTTCCTGGGTCCTTGCCCCTATCTTGGGGATCCCCCCTTATTTCTAATGTGCTCCTCTGAGCCTCACTACCTCTCTATGCCTCTGAAATCTCACCTACTCTGGACTCTGCATCCTGTCCCCCATTTAGGATCCCTCTGTGCCCCCATTCTTTCTATTCCTCTGAATCCGTTTCATCTATCCGCCCACCCATCCACCCACTCAGGTATCTGGATATCCATCCATTCTTTATCCATCTGTTCACCTGCTCATGCATTCCATCCATCCGTCCACTCACTGATCCATCCATCCATCCACCCACCCATTCGTCTGTTCTGTCCACTCACCACCCCGTTCCATTTCCCATCCATCCTCTTCACAGAAGTCCTCAGACTTCCGTGAGGTGGTTCTGGGGACACTGTGGTGACCTTCAAAGCTGGTCCCTACCTTTACGGGCCTGATGGTCTGGTGGGAGGGCCGTTTCCATCACCTAGAGTGGTCTAGCTTGGACAGGGCAACTCAGAGGGTACAGGGAGGCCCAGAGGTCCTGACCAGTCTGGAAATCAGGGGCTTCCCAGGGAAGGGGTGACTGCTATGAGCTCACCCCCTGCCTGGACCACTTGCATCCTCTTGTGGGTCAGTGTTCAGGGGCCCTGTTTGTTCCTGTTCTCTGAATTTTGGAAATTTCTTTACAGCTGGGTGTGGCTTAAGGGTAAAACCCCCGCCTGATGTGTGAGCACCTGGTGTGTTTGCCCAGCACTGCAAAAAAAGGGAGAGTCTAAAAATGTCTTTACAGACATCTGGTAAACACACAGGAAGGCACTCGGATGCTTCGGGTGCGGTAGTGAGTCTCCGCTGCCACATGCTGGCTATTTCAGCTTTGTGTCTTTAATGGCACAGCTGTGAGAGCTTCCCACAGGACTGTGCATTCCTCACTAGGGGACCTAACCGCCGGTCACATCTTCACACCATTTCTTCCTCCATCCCACCATAATGCAGAAGTCCCTTGATGGATACATGCCGCTGGGTGGTGGCACATGCCAGCACCTAGGAGGCTGTGGCAGGAGGATGGCCATACATTTTCTGATCTAAGAATAAAGTAAAACTATTTCATAAGATCTTTAATTTGTCGATAACAGTCACATTTAGTGTTACAAGTCTCATTATAAAAATCCTGTTAAACCAGGGATGGTGGTGCCCATCTGCAATCCCAGCACTTAGGAAGGAGGCTGAGGCAGGAGGATCCTGGTGAGTCTGAAGCCAGCCGAGACTACACATTGAGACTTTGTCTCCAAAAAACTCCCCCTCAAAATTCCTGTTAAGTTTGCTAGCATTTTATATTTTTTGGTTTATATTGTGAATTATATTGCCTTTTGAATTTGATTTTATCATTTATTTTTATATAAAGAAATCCATTTTATAAATTGACTTTCTGTCCAGTGACTTTGATGTATTCACTTCTTACTCCTAGTTGTGGGTATTTTGGGGGAGTTTCCTTAGGACTTCTAAATAAACTATTCTGTCTTTTACCAGCAAAGACTATGCTCTTTTTTCCGGCCTGATGTGCAAGCTTTCCCTGCTCTGTGGCACAGGCCGAACTCTGTGATGCATCCTGGGTTAAGAGTAGACATCTTACCAGGTGTGGTAGTGTACACATGTAATCTCAGCACTTGGGAGGCGGAGGCAGGAGGATCGCCATGAGTTCGAGGCCAGCCTGGGCTACATAGCGAGATTTTGTCTCAAAAATCAAAGCAGTAACAACAACAACAATAACAAGGGTGAACCAAGCAGAATCTTTGTCTTCTGCCCAGCGTTCAGTCTCTAGTTTGTTCCCGCTAACTCTAAGCTGTTCATAGCTGCTCTGTACCAGGATAAAGGAGATCTGCTCCATTTCTAGTTTGATGAGAATTTTTATCAGAAGTGTGAGTTTTGCCAAATGACTTTTCTGCAAACTATTTTGTCCTTATTCTGCTAGTGAGATAAATGTTTACTTAGCTTCCTAATTGCTCAAATGACCTTGAACTTCTAAGGTAAAACTCCATGTCCAGGTGATGCCCTCTCATGATTGTATGCGGTTGGCTCTGCTTTGCTAATCTGCAGTATGTTTGCATTCTTTTTTTTTTTTATTCCCCCCCCCC